TTTTTTTTTTTTTTTTTTTTTTTTTTTTTTTGGAGGGAAGTTTCTTTTCCTTCGCTTGTTAATACCTTAAACGTTTGGTAGGTTGCTTCAAATAAGGAATAAAATTCATTGGGGACTATGGTGGAAATCATATTGTTCTTGTTTTTTTAAAGCTGTATTTTGCTTTTTTTTTTTCTCAGATCGCTACTCGGTTTTGTGTTTCAAAGGAGATGTGCGCCACTGTAGCAGCGTACAGTCTTAATTTGGTTTTCTTTTAGTTATTCTTTTGACGTCGTGAATGACCGTCGTTATAATATGCTTAAACTGTCAATCGAATGTGCTTCCATTGATGTTCAAGTCTTTTATTTTTTTCCCTTTTGATCGGTCTAATAGTTAGATATAAATATAAACTATGAAGTTTAGAGGAATTTGGGTCGATTGTAATGAGCAGTCTTATGGTCGTTATTTTAGGAAGTTGATATACGGAGCGTTCGAGAACAGTTTTGAACGCTTTCTTCAGAACAGTGAGTTAAGAGAGCTCGATTTCATGCAGCTGAGTTAATTTATGGTAAGCCTTGTGTGCTGTTGTAGATTCAAGAATTTGGTGTTTTGATACAGTGTCGTTAGCTAGTTGGAATGATGTTAGACCACTTAAAATTTGTGGTGCTTGCGAATAAGGTTTTTAAAGGACTTGGTGAAGACAGCGTTTGTCTTTGATCTATTTCGACATAATTGCCTTGTGAGAATGCTTTAGAGGCGTTCCAAAGGGCCGTTAACTTCTACACCGAATGCACTTAATAAACCATTTATTCGCGTCAAGTTTGATGAAGCTGAAACAAATGGGTGCAAAAAGACTCGAAGTTTGAAACGACGGGCTTCTGGAAGTTCTGTTACGGTAAATCATTACTCATTTCTTCACTGGACAAGTTTCCAGGGCCGTGTTGCCTGCTTGTTTGTTGAATTCAGTCTACCCGTAGCTCCGATAAAGTGTTGGAAAATAAGAACACTTTTCGGGACTCGAGTAAACTGCATCTCAACTGTAGCGACCACTTTTTAATTTTCTGTAAGGTAATTGTAATATTAATCCACAAAATGCAGTCATTTTCAATTCTTACTCTACTGCTTCTGTAGTGATTTATTTTTACCTCAGAATTGAAATAAAATTTTATTTGAACGGCAATTTGTGGAAGTTTTTGTAATTCGAGACCTGCAGGATGAGTTGCTTTGATTATTATTGGCCATTTACAACGCTTAGTGACGCGTGAAAGTGTGAAAAGTTGAGAATTATTTAAAGGTGGTACAGGGAAGCAGAAGGAATTTCACTTGTGATTGTTTCGGCTTGAATTTTAAAATTGTCAGGGTTAGGGGTTAACCGGTGAATCTTTACAGCCAAAACGTGGTAACATAGATAGACTCAGTTTGCTTAGTCCTTATCGGACTATGCTTGTAGATGTTATGAGCGATGCGTTTAAAGAACAGGCGGCACACGAAGAAATGATTGCAAGAATTTTAAGTCGACCGTTCAAAGTCCCAATCCCCGGATATGTTGGTAGGTGCAAATATAATTATTTTTTAGTTGGTATGCTTGTAAATTATTTGCCTTAAATTTTGTTCAAAGTGACATTTGTCAGTAAATCCGTTGGGATAGTTTTTGAAGCGAACATTGAACAAGCTTGAGGCAATTCATGAGTGGCTAAGCTGGGTTGTTGGAGACAGTTGAACGAAAAACTGGAAAAATTGTGTTTTTTCAGGATTTTTTAAAGGAAATACACACCTTTTTGCTTGCTTCAGCGTTACCGTATGCTTTTGGCATTGCTTGCAATAATCTCCAAGAAATTTATCAGCAAACGTCACTTTGAACTATGCGTTGCACTTCTGTATGCTTGTTTGCAACTTTGGGCTTTTCGCTTCAGAAGCCTGAAACTGATCTTTTTGGGGTCGCTGTAAAATTCTGGCGGCAGGCAGTCAACCCGTAGAAATGAAATTGTGTTTTGTATTTGGTAACACGATTCATTTCTCGGGTGTACTGCTTATTAGCCGTGAAATTCTTCGTCTGCCTTTCCTGCCAGTTTTTAAAGTGACTGTATTACTGCAGAAGTTTCTAATTAAACAGGAAGGATGCTGTTCTAAGTTAAATTTTTTCGCGTATTCACACTTCGTCTGCTAGGTGGCGGAAGTCAGCGGTTTTTGGGTCTTCGTAGGTCTGGAGTCAGGTGCTCGTTGTTCGATCCATATGCTGAAGGCGCGCTTGTGCTGTACACTCCACGTGAACTCAGTGCGCATGAGGCTTTAAAGTTGGACGAAAGTAAGAAGGAGGTATAATTTTTTTGCGGGTGTTTACTTATTTGTAAAGCATTTGGTAAGGTTCAAATTGCCTCTGTGTGTTTGTATCTTGTGTTTACACTTTGGTTCTTATTTTCTATCTAGTGCTAAAAAGTTATTTGATATGCTGTTTTCCAATTACAGGTGCATGTAGTTGTAGACCCAGTACTGAGTTCAATTCTGAGACCTCATCAGAGGGAGGGTGTAAAGTTCATGTTTGATTGTGTAATGGGTACAAGGATACCGTTCTCAAATGGTTGTATAATGGCTGATGAGATGGGTTTGGGGAAGACCTTGCAATGCATAACGTTGATGTGGACATTGCTGGTTACTTTTACTACAGTTCTTAAAAACTATTTCTTTGGGTTTGAAGTCTGGCCCGTAGAATATTTTTTTTTGGCGGCTATGAGGACTGCCCTTTTTCTGATCAGTCATCTGTGAATTTTAAGAGACAAGGTCCGGATGCGAAGCCGACGATTTCTTTAGCTGTGATTGTATGCCCAAGTAGTCTTGTTAAGGTAATGTATTTTTAACAATTAGGATTATTAGTTCTCTTTTGCGACAGAGGCTTTAAAAATGAAGTTAGGTTTTTTCAAAATTGAAATTGCATTTTTTAAAATTAACTGTGGATCACTCTTTATACTGTTATCTTCCCCCCAGTTGGTACTGAACTATAAACTTTCGCGTACGCTGTGAAAAGTCATCATATTATAGGTTTGTTTTAGCGGCTAGAAACCTTTTTCAGTTGCATTTAAGTTTTGAGTGTTTATGAGTTATAGCCAGGTGAAATTCTTATAACTTTTTTTTGTAGTTATTTGCAGTTGCACCTCGAAATAAAATAAATAAGACATAGTTTAGTTTATATCCTAGTGAAGCTTAATCTGGTCAATTCTGTATGTAAAATCTAGTTTAGAATTGGGACAAAGAGATCAATAAGTGGCTTGGGGGACGTGTGAATTCACTACCTGTCGATTCTGGCAAGAAAGAGGAAATTGATAAGTGTTTGAGTGAGTACGGTTATTAGATGTTTATTCACTTGCACAGATTTTACACATTCAACAGTTTTATTTATATTTTGCAGTAGCATTTTGGAGTATTTTTTTAAAGGTTGTTGGAGTGTTTTGTGTGGACACTTAAAACTTTAGAAAACTCAAATTTATATCAGTAGTTTTTAGATCAGTTTATTTCTCAGGTGGGGACGAGATGTCCGACTCCTGTTTTAATAATTTCTTATGAAACTTTTCGTTTACATGCTAATGTTCTTCTGCGGGGCGAAGTGGGCCTTGTTATTTGTGACGAAGTCAGTTTCATTTTATTTTTTGTTTTTTATTCTTTTGTTTTTTGGATTTTGGATTTTTATTTTTTTTTTCGGGTCTTTTGTCATCCTACAATTTTCAGTAATGATCGGTTCT